ATATATATATATATATATATATATATATATATATATATATATATATTGAGAATATTCACATATTCTCATATATGTGAATATTAGCTCAAGTTTTCAATATGTACCCTATATCTGTATAAGGACAGAGTGTAGGAACATAGTAAGAGATTAGAGAGGATGGAAGCAACTCTCAAAGTAGGGGAAATAGAATATATAGTTATGGAGAGACAGGGGAATACTGCAATTGGAGGATCAAAACAAACAGGGATGGGGAAGGGAAGTAAGGAAGGGAGTATGGGAAGGAGCTACTAGAAGTAAGGGCAATTTGAAGGGTCATATGGAAACTTACTAAAAATTTCTAAAATATAGCTATATACGAATTAAGTCTTAATGGAGTCACCCAATAATGGGGGAGACAAAGCCCCAACTTCACATCTCTTGTCACCAAGTGAAACCTCCAATGCCAAGTATGGGTTACATCTAATTGAGTTGTTGGTCAAATGGGCCCCATGAAAACCAGAAACAAGGCTATTGGCTGCTCTCCCCAAACTGATTACCTAACACAACTGTATATCTCATTGAACAGGAGATATAGAGCTGGTACCCAACTAGAGCCTTTACTTCTATTGACTCATGTTCATGGTACTAGAAAGTACTCAGTATGCTATCAGAGAAACAAACTAAATGACAGCCCAGCTAGAAAGCCTTGATAAACTATAGTGACTGCATAATATGCTAGTGCATTAGTGGCACAAATGCTGTGGGGAGACCCAACCAATATCTGATTGTATTTAAGGCACACTCTACAATACGGAACTCATGTCTGACACTCCTGTAATGGCCAATAATCTGAAAACACATGGGCCATGGCCAATGGGAAAACCAAATAATAATGTTCTGCTACATGAACATCACAATAAAATGACTCTTAACAACATTCTGCTTACGCCTATAGATGAATGTTTCACTCGACCAGCATCAGAGAAGCTTCTTTGTGTAGGAGGTGTGAATTAATACAGAGACACACAACAAGATGATATGTAAAGAGTGAGAGACCTCGGAACACTACATCCTAAAAAGGACGTCTTCATCAAAACCCTCACTGAAGGCTCAGGGAGTCTCCCTAAAGACTTTAAGGACACCAGGAAAACTGCTTTCCAAATACATCATGACTGATGCAAATAAGGAAATCAAACGATGGCAGTATGCACAGGGCCTACACAGGTCCAAGTCGTATGGGTTTTACACCCAAGAGTGGCAGTGGACATAAATGGCCATCATAACCCAGAAGCTATCTGCAATGGTCAACCTTTAGCAAAGAAAAAAAAATATTCTCAGATTGTGACTCACTGAGCATGTAAATCACACTTAAGGGAGGCCACCACATGTCCAGCTGTAGATGACAAACACAAAATGGACTCGGTGATGTTTTTGGAGACATTTTGTCTCCTAATCTTTTGTTTATAAATTGTATACCTTACTTGTCCTTTGATTATCTTTTATTGGTTCTCATTTTTGTATTATCTATTTTGTTTGTGCATTCATGTTTCTTGTTAGTTATTTCATTTTTCTGTTTTCTTTGTTTTATTCTTTTTTATTGGTCTGCTTGTTATCTAAAAAGAAAGAGGGCATGGACTTTGATGGGTGCAGAGTTGTAGAGGATCTAAAAGAACAGGGAGAGAATATAAACAGTGATCAGAATATACTGTATGAGTTTTTAAAAGATAAATATATATATATACACACACACATTGATTTATCTGGTGGATGGAGAGATAAATCATTAGTTAAGAGAACTCCCTTGATATAAATCAAAACGACCCTGATATTTCACCTTACACCCATCAGAATGGCTAAGATCAAAAACTCAAGTGGCAATACATGCTGGAGAGGATGTGGAGAAAGGGGAACCCTCCTCTATTGCTGGTGGGAATGTAAACTTGTACAACCACTTTGAAAATCAATCTGGTGCTTTCTCAGAAAACTAGGAATAGTGCTACCTCAAGATCCAGCTATACCATTCTAACACATATATCCTAAATATGCTCAACTATACAACAAGGACATTTGCTCAACCATGTTCATAGCAACTCTATTCATAATAGCCAAAATCTAGATACAACTTAGATGTCCCTCAACAGAGGAATAGATACAGAAATTGTGGTACATTTACACAATGGAATACTACTCAGCTATTAAAAACAAGGACAGCATGAAATTTGCAGGCAAATCATGGAAATTAGAAAAGATCTTTTTTTCATCGTTTTTATTATTATCATTTATTACAGTTTTTCAACATGTATCCCAGCTGTGGCCCCTTCCCTCATCTCCTTCCAATCCCACCCTCTTCTCCCCCTATGCTCCTACCTTAGTCCACTGATAGGGGAGGTCCTTCTCCCTTCTAGTTGACCCTAGCCTATCAGGTCTCATCAGGACTGGTTGCATTGTCTTCCTGTGTGGACTGGCAAACCTGAGCACCCCAGGGGGACGTGATCAGAGAGCCTGCCACAGAGTTCCTGACAGAGAAAATCCCTGTTCCCCTTACTAGGGATGCCACTTGAAGACTGAGTGTATAGGCCACATTTGAGCTGGGATTTTAAGTCTTCTCCATGCATTGTCCTTGGTTGGGGTATCATTCTCTTTAGGGCCCCCAGTGCTCAGTTTTTATGGCTCTATTGGATTCTTTTTAGATCCCCTGTCCCCTCCACTTCTTTCTATCTCCCCCTTTATTCATAAGATTCCCAGCACTCTGCCCAAAGTTTGGCTATGAGTCTCGGCATCTGTGTTGATACCCTGCTGGGTAGCATCTTTCAGAGGCCCTCTGTGGTAGGCTCCTGTCCTGTTCCCTGTCTTCTCCTGCTTCTGATGTCAATCATGTTTGTCCTTCTGCATGAGGATTGAGTATCTTCCTCAGGGTCTTCCTTGTTTAGATTCTTTAGGAGTATAGATTTTAGTTTTTTTTTTTAATCCAATATTGTGTAGCTAATATCCACTATGAGTGAGTATATACCATGTGTCTTTCTGCTTCTTGGTTATCTCACTCAAGATGATCCCACCATTTGCCTGCAAATTTCATGATTTCCTTGTTTTTAAAAGCTGAGTAGTATTCCATTGTATAAATGTATCCATTCCTCTATTCAGGGACATCTAGGTTGTTTCCAGCTTCTGGCTATTATCGATAGAACTGCTGCGAACATGGTTGAGCAAATGTCCTTGTTGTATAGTTAAGCATATTTTAGATATGTGCTTAGGAATGGTATAGCTGGATCTTGAGGTAGCACTATTCCTAATTGTCTGAGAAAGAGCCAGACTGATTTCCAAAGTGTTTGTACAAGTTTACACTCTCACCAGCAATGGAAGAGGGTTCCCCTTTCTCCACATCCTCTCCAACATGTACTGTCACTTGAGTGTTTGATATTAGCCATTCTGATGGGTGTAAGAGGAAATCTCAGGATTGTTTTGATTTGTATCACCCTGATGAATAAGGACATTGAGAATTTCTTTAAGTGTTTCTCTGCCATTTGATACTGCACTATTGAGAAGTCTCTGTTTCACTCTGTAACCCTTTATTTTTTACTTGGATTACTTGGTTTGTTGGTGTATAACTTAATATATTCTGGATATTAGCCCTCTGTCAGATACAGGGTTGATGAAGACCCTTTCCAAATCTGTAGGCTGTTGTTTTGTTCTGACAAAAGTGTCCTTTGCTTTAGAATAGCTTTTCAGCTTCATGAGGTCCCATTTATTGATTGTTGATCTTAGAGCCTGTGCTGTTGGTGTTCTATTCAGGAAGTTTTCCATTGTGCCAATGAGTTCAAGGCTCTTTCCCATTTTTTTCTTCTAACAGGTTTAGTGTATCTTGTTTTATGTTAAGGTCTTTGATACACTTAGACTTTAGTTTTTTGAAGGATGACAAATATGGATCTATTTGCATTTTTCTACATGTAGATATCGAGTTAGAGCAGCACCATTTGTTGAAGATGCTGTCTTTTTTCCATTGCATGGTTTTGGCTTCTTTGAAAAAAATCAGTATCCATAGGTGTGTGGGTTTATTCTGTGTCTTCTATTTGATTCCATTGATCCACCAGTCTTTTTTTATGCCAGTAGCATGCAGTTATTGTTACTTTTGCTCTATAGTACAGCTTGAAATCAGGGATGGCGAGTCCTCTTGAATGCGGTAACCCAGAAGCAGAAAGATACACATGGTATGTACTCACTCATAAATGGTTATTAGACAAAAATGAAGGATAAAATCTAGACTCCTAAAAGCTAAACACTTACATAAACATCTCTAACTCCAGTTCCATGAGATCTGATGCCGTCTTCTAGCCTCTGTGAACACCAGCCACTCAGATGGTGTACATACACACATGCAAGCAAAACGCTTATACATATAAATTTTTTAAAATCTTAAAAATGAAATAAAATACATCTCTGGACCTAATTTGTCATATGTATCTAGGAACTGACAGCATCTCTGGCTGCATGCATGAGACATACACATGATCCAATCGGAGAAAATTCTAGAGTGAAGTGGTGAGAAGGCCAGAGTGGTCTATTCTCCGCTCAGGAACTATTGTAACTCCTAGCTGCTGGGAGAAGTAGAGTACATTTCCCTTAGGGATGAGACCCCAGAGAGGCTACCTGAGCTCCTACAAGCTATGCACCTTCTGACAGCTCTGAGTGAACTCTTCAGGGTAAAAGAAAAAAGAAATAAGAGCACATAAGGTTAGGCAAGAATACCTGTGGGGGTGGTAGGAAAGAAGATGGAGGTGAGCAAATGGTGGGTTGACTTCAACAGAACAGTACAATGATGTATGAAATTTTTAGTCAATAAAAGAATACAAATCATTAAGATTATCTTCTCCTATAAAGATAGATAGATAGATAGATAGATAGATAGATAGATAGATAGATAGA